AGCTATTGGATAGTCGCCGTGCTCCGGCGAGTTGCCGCTGAACTGACATCAACTCCTTCCCCAGCCAAGTAAGATATTTCTCACTGCTTCAAAAGTTTTTTGATGCACGACTGCTTGAGCCCCCTTTTTTTGCCATGCTTGGATATATGCTATATGTTTCTCCTCTTGAACCTTCTACTGACATATGTATATATATTGCGAGTCTGGGCGATGCTATTTTCCAAATATGTAGACCACTTTGCGTGTGCAAGTGCATATACTTAACACATAGCATGGCCCAAGTAATGTAAATGCATATATGACCTGATGCTTCTTGAGTTCTTGAGCCATTTGCAATTGCCTTGGATAGTGCGATTGCCATTTCTCCCTCCTTGCGTGTGAATGTTAACAAATAACAACATGCTGACTTTGCTCCACTACAATATATATGCATAATATATTATCCACTGGTCCATGTGAATATGTATAACATATATACTAATATACATTATCCACTGGTCCGTTTAATATATGTATATGAGCTGGCAACTTGCATGTGTTGTGGGCCTATTACTTTCATTTTTGCACTTTGCACACTACCACTTTATTATGTAGTAATGCATACACACGCATATAATATGTAAAATGTACGTGATATGTGTATACATATAATATATATTATATGGGTGGCCTTGTGCACACATTGTGACATGAGAATTTCCTTTGAATACTTTCATGGAAACTTTCTTCGAGCCTTCAGTCTCAGAACTTTACCTTTACAATTTCCTTGCAAACTTGCATGGCTTGACTTTAAGTGGAGAACCTGACTTTTTTTTAAAAGTTCGAGCCCCAAAGACATGGACTCTGCAATTCAGCCTGTATCATGTGGAATATCCGGACATGCTCTTGACTTTTAGGAGATGGGTACTTAGCGTCCTGTAACTAGTACATCGCTTTAAGAATGAATTCAATTTCATCAAGGTGTACTAGGAACAGACTAAAGCCGTACTCAGTATGCATCTCTTGGTATGCCCTCTTGGAGTCCACCATGAGGTAGTTTCGACTCGTGCCAAGGAGTTTTGAAAGATATGAGGCAGTTTCGTCTCATGCCAAGGAGTACTGAAAAGATACGAGGCAGTTTCGACTCGTGCCAAGGAGTGTCCTTTAGCTCCTTTCCTTTAAAATTGTAGCTTCTTTCCTTTAAGATTTCATGAAGGGTTTGCCCGTATGGCTATGATTATGATACTTCTATCGCTTCTGAGGCGAATTCAGTCTCAAATGCCAAGGTAGAAGTCTCTCTCATTTAAGGGTTGACTCTGTTGACTCCAAAAGATGGGGAGAGCTTGAATGAGGCCAAGAGAAGCTTGGAGGCATGTAAACATGACATGCTTACCTTTAAGCTTTTCATCGACTGATGTTATTTTTCCTTTAGTCATTTTTTTTTTCTTTTTGGTTGCAAAACTGTTGTTGTTTCTTTCCTCAACTCTTGATAATTGAATGCTTCTCATTTGTGTGCTTGTCTTTTAGCATTCACTCGACATCTTTGCTTTGGCTTGTTGAGTGATAGTGTTGATACACCACTCTTGCAACATGAATTGGATATGTTTTTGTTATGACTGAACTTAGATAGTTTTATTTCTAAGCTGCCTACGTACTCCTATGAAGGAGATCAAGTCAAACGTAGTTCAAATGATTTTTTTTTTTTTGATAAAGTAGAGCCGTTCACAGTTTAGACTCATGCGGGCCAGGAGCGTCTATGATTTGGGCCCACCCATAGACAAAGCGAGACGCATTAGCAGTTTAACCACGTGCTGCATTTTTGGTGGATGAGTCATTCATCACGCCTTCATGACTTGTGTTGACACCCCAAGTTTAAGGGTGGTAAAGCTTTAGGAACCTTCCATTAATTGGACCGATTTTCAATCCATCTTCGCTAATCAGCTTATTAAATTAATATTAATGAGTTTATGCATGTGATCTAATATTCATGTGATTATTTAGAGTTATATAGTACATAAATAATCACATCAAAAGTTAAATGATGGATAAAATTATTAATCATGAAATAATTACTTTATCACGATTATGCTTATTGAAATATTAGAGTAGTGTTTTAAAGAAAAATATTAGAGTAGTGTGTTGAGGGCCCGTTTACTAATATAAAATTATTCTATGTTTTCAATTCTCTGTTTTCAAAAACTGAAATTGAAAATTTGTTTATGTGTACTTATTTTCGAAATCCATTCTCCATTTACTAAATTAAAAATGTACTACATACATATATTTATAAGTTATTTTGTGACAAATTAAAATGTCATTAGAAAACATATTAATTGCAATAATTTAAAATAAGTTGTTTCGTGACGAAATGTGATTACAAAACATTGCAAATAAAATTGAGTACACCATCAATGATTATAATTTGCCCAGAGTGCATTTGCGATGTCCTCACGCTATTGTAGCATTTGGTATTGTTGACTCGTATCTAATTGTATGGTATCATTTCTACCACTACTACTACTTCCACCATCATCCAAAACCATGTATTGCGTTCCGTACATCATACCTAATTGATCATCCATATCTTCCAACCGAATGAAATTATGTAATGCACAACATGCAAGAGGAATTTGTCTTTGCCTAATCAATGGGTGACCATTAATGGACTTTAGAATTGGGAATCTTGCCTTTAAAAGTCCAATACACTGCTCAATCACATTCCGCAAGGATGAGTGTTGATAATTAAATAGGGCTTGCTTATTTTGTATCCGTTCTTGCCCACGAAAGTCATTAAAGTGATAGCGCTCTCCGCAGTATGGTGTCAAAAAACCGAGTCAATTTTGATAAATCTCTATTCTCTAATATAAAAAAAAGAAATAATAGTTTTACTATCCATGGTCAAAAAGTTTTTTTTTTTTTTTTACTCAAAGCAGATCAAGTTTGTCTGCCATTGTAAAGATTCCATTGGAGCAAAACCACATATCGTTTGAACTGTTAAATTCAACCACTTAATGAATGACATTAACAACTTTACATTTTTTTTTTGTTCCAACTACTTAATAGTACTTGGGCTAATATAAGCTGTCAGGAAATAAATTTAAAATGTATAGTCTGAAGCATATGAAACTTCAACCACTAGTGATTTGCCACAGATCATGCACAGGGACAAGGAATGCAATGTTCACAGACCACAGTTCAATTTATGAACAAGCAACTATAAAAAGCAAACCAGTACCTCTTCATCAGCAATCTTGAAATAAATCTCTTAAAAAATACCAGAACAAATTTCCTTGAAAAATAAAAAAAAACTTGAGGAAACTCTAGAATGTTTGTGTATAGGAGGGGAATTGGGAAAGAGCAGCTGATAGTATAATTTCGGGAGTGAGAAGCAACTACAAGATCTAAACCGATGAAACAGCAAATTAAATGGCAGGGGTGAAAACAATGAAAGGCATATTACGAGTTTGTGCGTGAATCTAATGAACCTCCATAAGCGATAGCAAAAGCTAGGCGTTAGATTCACGCACAAGGTCAAAAAGTCTTAAAATTGCTTTTTAAAATAACAAAAAAAAAAAAAAAAAAGCCATGGTTGCTGTAAAAAATTTACCGCAACCATGGCCATTGTCACAGACAACATTTTCTACTGGACAACATTTCTACTTTAAAACAAAAACTGAATACCCTAGAATAGTTCAATAAAAAACAAAATTACCTGGTTGTGGCTTGTGGAGACCGACGATGGCCTCAGGAATGGATGGTGGGTGTGAGACGATGGTTTGAGGAATCGCAGTAAACAGAAGCCGCAGGTCACCTAAGTGAATAAGAAAGAAAAGAAGAAAGTAAAGTGGAGAGGGTTAGGTGTGTAAGAGAAGAAGAAAGTAAAGAAGGAAAGTGGGGGTTGTTGGACTGACATTAAAGTGTAGAAGAAAGAAGAAAATGAAGAAAGAAGAAAAAATGTGTCTGCCAGGATTCGATGGTTCCCAATACTGTTCACCTGTTAGTTTTCAATTTTGAAAACAAGTTTGCATTGTGTCTCTAAATTCTTGCAAAAAGGGAAAATAATTCTCTGTTTTGGAAATGGAAAAAGACCATAGTAAACACTTTGCTTGTTTTCAATTTTCAGTTTTTGAAAATTTATATATATATATATATATATATATATATATATATATATATATATATATATATATATATGTGTGTGTGTGTGTGTGTGTGTGTGTGTGTATGTGTGTGTGCGCGTGTGTGCCCCAACAAAATTTTCCCATCGGGGACGGGGCAAAGTGTAGAGTTCTAGGCCAAAATATGTATAAATATATCCCATACATGAGAAGAGGGGAAGCAATTTCACAAGCAATTCTCAGTAATATAAAATATTTGAGTTAATTACCGTTTTGGTCCCTCGACTATGGCGAAAAATACCAAATTGGTTCTCGATTATCATTTTTGGCCAATTAAGTCCTCAAGTATTAATTTTGTGTCCAATTTGGGCCTCCATCAGTTTGAGTGTTAACTGGTCGTCTCTTTTAAGGTCAAAATATGACTTTCACTCTTTTCCATCATTGTGAAGATCCACTAACATCTCTCCGTATCCCAGAGAATAGTTTACTTAAACTTCTCTCATTTAATCCGGCGGCGGTGGTCAGATCGTCTGCCCCACCGACCGGAAAAACTGTCATAGCAAGGTCTGCACCGTCGTGTGCGGCTGTCGCCGAACACCGCAATCCAGTTCTACGATGTTCAGGCCCGGCTCGGATACGACCGACCCAGTAAGGCCATTGATTGGTTGATGAAGGAAGCGAAAGCTGAGATTGAAGCTCTCAACGCTGATTGGTTAATGAAGGAGGCGAAATCTAAGATTGAAGCTCTCAACACTGCAACTACGACGAACCAACAGTCAGGACCGAAAGAATAAGAAGAAGAAAAGATTCTTCAGAACTGCTCAAATCCCAGTTTCTCATTAGTTTTCCCCATAGGAAATAATATATCTGATTTGGACGCCATATCGGATTGCATCAATCTCATCTCCCCTAATCCCCATATCCCTAACCCTAATCTGCGATTTCAGCTTTTCAACTCTGAAATGGGCACCGAGGAACCGGCTGTTGTGATCGAGACTATAATTGAGGCGGCGGAGCAGCAGATCGAGGCTGAGCCAATCAAGGAGGAGTTGGAGAATCCTCCAGCGAAGTCAATGAAGTCGAAGAAAGCGAAGGAGCCTAAGGTGAAGAAGCCGTCTGCTCCCAGGAAGAGGAGCCCTCCTAGTCATCCACCTTACTTTGAGGCACGGATTTTCTGGTTGTTTATTCATAATTTCATAGCTATTTTAGTGCATTTTAGTTTGTTGATCGAATATAAGTCTGATTTGGTTTCGATTCTGTGTTTTTGAAGATGGTCCATGAGGCGATCGTCACTCTAAAGGAGATGACTGGATCGAGTCAGTAAGATATTCAGAAGTTCATCGAGGCGAAGATGGTCCAGGAGGCGATCATCACTTTTTGGTACTGATTGGATATGAAAATTTATCAGATCTCCGATTTGATTTTGCATCTTCGAAGCAGCATCTATGGCATTCAATAGTGAAAGTCCCATTTTGCCCTTAGAGCATCCATATCAATAGATTTTTTGAGATTTTTGGAATAGTGAAGAAAAAATGGGATGGCTTTAACTGATGAGAGGGTGGGTTTTTTGGGGGTTTGTTTCCCTGCAAGAAATGGGTTTTTGGCAGGAGAAAGAAAAAAAAAAAAAAAAAGAAGCTTAAAGAAATCCACATCATGTGCTTAGGCGCACTTATACGCCCAGCTAGCGCATGCGCTGCACGCGCCAGCTGGGCGCGTAGAAGCTTTATTTTTTTTTACTATCTCTCTCTGTTCTTTTCGTCAGTCAGCTCTCCCTTTTTCTTTTTTTGTTTTTATTTTTTATTTTTATCTTTATTTCTTGCCCAAAACTCTCTCTCTTATATGGTACATAAAAAAACAGTGCAAAAACTTGGACTGATATAGATGCTCTTAAAAGAGACGACCAATTAACACCCAAACAGACGGAGGGCCAAATCAGACACAAAATTAATACTTGAGGACGTAATTGGCCAAAAATGATAGTTGAAGACCAATTTGGTACTTCGCCATAGTCGAGGAACCAAAATGGTAATTAACTCTAAAATATTTATACTCTCTGAGTTTCTCCATATTTTCTATATTTCCATATACTCATAATTTAAACAATTGTGTTGGCCAGTTAATTGCCTAAAAATCATAAAACCAACACATATTAATAAAAGTAATATACAATTTATTTCAATCATTTCATATTTTATCATAAATATATATTTTTCATTGTGTTTTGAAGTTTTTTTAAGTTTCACCCTCACTTAATGATATTTATGACTTCGCCACCCGGGAAAATGAGAAAAGTTTGATGATTCGAATAAGAGAATTTCATTTATTTTAGTTTAATATCAATATATATAATCAATCCAAATTAACTTTAACCTCTCCCTTGCAATTTTGTGCGGAGTATTATTTTCCATTCTAATTAGGGAAAATCGCACTTTTGGTCCCTCAATTGTTTCCCAATCTGCAATGTGGTCTCTCAATGTCAATTTCAGTCAATGGGTCCTCCAGTTCTTTAAATCGTTGTCAATTTGCTCCTCCGGTCAAATTTCACATGGACCATGGTTAAAAGCGTGGATAAAATGGTAATTTCCAATACCCTTTAACCCCTTTCCTTATTTCCACCGAATTAACCCCAATTCACTTACCATTTCTGCCATAACCAATACCCGTTTCTTACTCCCATTCCGCGAATTATCCCTGATTCACGTACCAATTCTCCCAAAATCTACGAAGACGACGAAGTTCATATTGCACGGCCATGTCTTCAAATAGTTTGTGCGACTCAGTTGAATGGATTCCAGAAGTTCGTTGTTGGTGCGGCGAAGTCGCTCCGGTAAGGATGTCCTGGAGTTATGCCAACCTTGGAAAGCGATTTAGATCATACCCACGCTATGGAGTACGTGTAAGCATCATAAACGAATCTTGAGTTGTTCTTAGGTGTTAGAGTATTTAATTTGTCTTTGTTTATTGATTTTGATTGGCAGGGGAATGGGCACTGTAGCTATTTTCAATGGTTGGACTCCGATGTCTCTGACCGTGTACCTAAAGTGATTCGAGGTTTATTGAAGAGGTTAGATAAGCAAGAGAGTGAAATGCAAAGGCTTCAAGTAGTGATTGATGAGAAAACTGTCCAGCTTAAGAAGAAGACTCTGACTTCAAAATTTCAATTTTTGTATGGTTTTGGATTTGGAATTGTGGTTGGTTTTCTTTGTTTTAGGCTTTGGATGACAAGTGTTGATCCAAGTGAAAAGCTTCTACAATTGGCTTAGGAATTTTAATGCGTAATGTTTGTAAAAACTTGGGAATTTTAATGCTTATGAACTCTATTGTCAGTTTGGATTATTGAATTAATGCAAGTTATGTAATCTATTGTCTGTTTGGATTATTGAATTAATGCAAGTTATGTAATCTATTGTCTGTTTGGATTATTGAATTAATGCATGTTATGTACAGTGGCTGGAAGGTAAATGACCAAATGACTACACAATAGGTGAGCATAGTGGCTGGAAGTTAGATGATAGATTGATTGTTAATACTGAAATGACCATTGGCTTGGAGTTAAATGACCAAATGTGCTGAGTAGTCTATTTCAAAGGGGCTCACTGTTAAACTGCTAGCATAATAGAGTCATAATAGATTCATAGATTCATAATGAGCAAATTTGCAAAATACATTCATTGTTATCATTGGACAAATGTATCTACTGATTGTGGCTTAGATTCATGCTGAAACAGCCAACCAAAAACATACAAAAACAGCAAAAATATCAAATGACCACCAAACTGACCACAAAAAAATATCAAATGACTACCAAATTGTTTACAAAAAAATAGTCAAACTTGAACTAGAAACTTGTGTAGCGTGATGATCAAATACTTCATTTCTTTTTGTTGGCCAATCTCTGCATTGCATGAGTTCTTAATGCTTGAGCTGTCAGAATCTTAGGGGCAGCAGTTGAACTAGAAACTTGTGCACCAATAAAGGTTGACTATTGTGGAACCTGGTTTTGAAGTGGTTATGCAGGCTGAGATCCCATTACCTCCTGAGATACCTAAACAAAGTATTGCTCAGTAAGTTCAGAAAGTTTAAGTAAACAACCAACAAAAATCAGGAACATCCACTTACCATTTCATCAAGTACAAATGATGGCACTTGTGTTTCAACTGGTATCTCTTCAAACTGCCCTTCAACATCACCTTGCTCTTCAAACTGCCCTTCAACATCAACATGCTGATCAATCTCTTCAACTATTTCAGATGCCTATAAGATGATAATATTAGTTTCAACAGTCAATTAATAACAAAGAAATTTAAACTCAAGTAATAACACAACCTGTGGATTTTTAGCCTTGCAAGTAGTTTTATTATGCCCTGTCAGTCCACACACTCTGCATCTCTTCACCTCCCCTAGTTTCTTTGTTCTGACTTGACTATTCTGTTGCTTGCTCTCTTGAATTGGATCTATCTTTCTCTTTTTTTTAGGCCTACCAGGTTGTGCCTTATACTTTGGGGGAATTGGTGCTGGAAGATCTGATTTAACCCATAAATCTGAAGACTGAATGGGAAGTATTGCAGGTTCATAAGCTGTCAAATAAGTCTCAACTGTATAACATTGATGCACATAATCTTCAGGGCTTCCTCTTTGTTTCCTTATAGCTGCTACACCATGACTGCAAGGAATGCCAGTCAGATCCCATCCTCTACAGCTGCACTGTCTTTGGGATAAATCCACCTTGAAGGTCTTGAAATTCTGATCATCAACTTGGTATATATTATCATGTGACTTATAAGTACTATACCTAGCTGACATATCCTTTGCATCTTCTAGACACTTTCTGATTTTGGGACAGATTTTATGTTGATAAGTTTTCATTTTGTCTCTATTCTTTTGCATTCTAGTCATTAGATAAATCCTTATCTTATCAACCATGGTTAGGATAGGCTTGTCTCTCAAACTCAAAATAGTGCTATTCCAGGACTCACACAAATTATTCAAAAGCATATCACACTTTGGAAAAGTGCTAAAAAATGCCCTACAGTAATGCCTAGGATCTCTGGCAGCCAACCACTCAGCAGCTTTGTCATATTTTCTTCCTTTAATTCCTCCATATACCTTTTAAAATCTGCCTCAGTTGTAGCTTTACACACAGCCCACAATTTTAACTTCAGAACATTTCCAGTAAAGCCATCCTTCAGAAAGTTGGCATGCATATGCCTTACACAAAACCTGTGCTCCAATCCAGTAAACAATTCTTCAACAGCTGGTAACAGACCTTTTTTGTTTATCTGATATTATAGTCCAGGCATGAGGATTACTTCCTATGTTCAAATCATTGTCCAGCAGTTTTAAAAACCATGTCCAACTTTCCTTTAATTCTCCCTCAACAACAGCAAAGGCTATAGGAAACATGCAATTATCTCCATCAAGACCAATAGCACTTAACAGTTGCCCTCCCTTCTGACTACCCTTCAAATGGCATCCATCCAACCCAAAAATAGGTCTACATCCTCTTAGAAATCCATCTTTGCAAGCTGCAAAGCAAACATACAATCTAAGAAACCTAGGTCTGCCATTAACACTAAACTGACTATCAAGCTTCATCTTGACAGTACTCCCAGGATTACTTCTCTTTAATTCATCACAATAATCATTAAGCATCTTGAACTGTTCAGAATCTTGACCTTCCAACTCCTTTCTAACCTTATGCTTAGCCCTATAAGCCTGATGTTTTGTAACTTGACAATGTAATTTCTCTTTCACATGCTCTTGAAATTGTCTTCTCCCCCAGTCCATATTCAATCTAAAATCATCCTTGTACAACTTAGCAAGGAATCCTGAATTAACAGTTTTGTTTTCATCTTGGTCCCCACATGTGTGTTCAGGGTTGTATGTTTTAATTTGAAATGGACATCTAGGATTGCTTCTTGAGGCAAACATTGTCCAACTGCAGATGTCTGAGTGTCTACAATAAACCCTTACCCTTCTGGACTCATTCTTGGCAAATTTAATATCTTTTCTTCTCATTGCCTCATGATACTTTACATCCCACTTAAACTCTGAGGCAGATTTAAAAATCATTCCCAAAACAAACTTAAAACCTTGTTTTTTCAGGTTTCTTTCTTGGAAAACAGTTTCAGGACCATTCACTCCCCTCTCAGAATCTGAATCAGCTAAACTCCTAAAAATGTCTTCAGAAACTACACAATCAACTTCATCAACTTGTACCTCATCATTGTTCACCTGCTTAGAACTAGGACCAGGACCATTAACTTCTACCTCAACTTCTTCAAACAAAGTTTCTGGTCCATTTACTTCCCTATCAGATCTTTGTTCACTTGTCTCATCTATCCCATCATTCAACAGTGCATCCTCTCCCAAAGTCCTAGATATCTCTACTTCATAATCCCATTGATCATCATACAAATGTTCAACATAAATATCCAACTCCTTGTTTGTTGGAACCTCTAAATCAAGAACTATAATATCTGCATCACTGGTCAGTTTGCTCAGTTCAAGTTTTTTTGCATTTTTTCTACCCTTTTTCTTAACCCAGAATTGGACCTTTTTATCACAAAACCTTAGTTGTTTTACCATCCTTCTTAAATCCAGTAAACTTCCCTCTTCACTGTTGAAATGATCAAAATACTCAACAAAACCATCCCTATACTCAAATTTTGGCTTCCATACCAAATTACCACCAATATGCAGTTTTAAAGTAAACACAGATGAAGCCTCACCAACATCTATAAAGCATGAATTTAAATTCAATGTCAATTTTACAGTTTTGCAGTCAAAAATTAGATGAGCTATTCACAGTACAATAAAGACACAATCAGTGCACTACCTATGGTCCCCATGTGGCTACAACAAAGTAACCAACAACAACTGGTCCCCACTAAGCAATAACTCCGAAACCCAACCCAGTGCACATGTCAAAAATATACATACAACCCTACTTCAAGTTCCCCGTACATGCGATTTTCCCTTTATTTAAGTAGAACTGGTCCCCACTAATCCCAGAACCCAACACATTGCACATGTTAGACACACAAGACAAACTTTATCTTTTCAACTGCACAAGAATAAATAAAGCATAGGATAGCTCAGATACTTACACGTAGGAGTTGAATTGGACCCATTTATCCTCCGACTAGTCATGCTTGTGCTCGTCCTCGTCGTCCTCTTCGCAGTAGTAGTATTTGGGGGTTAAATGTCTGATTCGCAGATTGGGGGGAAGCTAGGGCTTAGCAGAAATGGTAAGTGAATTGGGGCTAATTCGGTGGAAATAAGAAAAGGGGTTAAAGGGTATTGGAAATGACCATTCTATCCACGCTTTTAACCATGGTCCATGTGAAATTTGACCGGAGGGGCAAATTGACAACGATTTAAAGAACTGGAGGACCCAATTGACTGAAATTGACATTGAGGGACCACATTGCAGATCGGGAAACAATTGAGGGACCAAAAGTGCGATTTTCCCTTCTAATTATTATTTACAAATTAATAAGATTCAATAAAGTTATGTTTTTAATGAGAATTAAAAAATGAGATTAATATTTGATGCACCGCCGGTGTATAAGTGAATACACTGGCGGTGAACCACAATGCGACACGTCATTAAAAAGAAAATTTAATGTGAACAAAACCCTCCTTTGCAAATATATAACTTTCTAAATTATTATTTTAATAATATATGATTACCATATTATGTATTGAAAACTTATAAAAATTTCTTTCCATCTCTATTTGGCGACCATACATATATGGATGGCTTTGTTCTCCGGAAGTTCAGCAACGGCAAAGCTTTCAGGAGAGCTGGTACTTGTTTTCTGTGAGTTGACTAAGTTTTGGGTTGGTGATGGACTTATGGTGGTCATAATTTAAACAAAATATATGTTTTCAGTTTGATTTGTCTGTCTTCTCCAAGCTGAGGCCTTTTGAAAAGCTGGAGAAGGCCTGCATTGCGACAGGACTCGGCCACCGATTTAACAATCGTTATGCCATGGAACCGTGTTAGTACACCGTTATCTTTTTTTTTTCTTAATTAATTGCGTGACTTTTCTTCTTCATTTTCACATTTCGCGGTTTCACTTTAATTTGAGGTGAGCAATGATTTCGGATATTCATAAATTATGAATTCATGCCTGCACATTCACTTTGGAACCATGCCTACACATTCCCGTTCGAAATCACGGACATTCATAAATTATGAATCCATGCATGCATATTCACTTTGGAACCATGCCTACACATTCACTTTGGAACCATGAGATTATGAATTTTCAGTTATGAGATTATGAATTTTCTGTTATGAAATTATGAACTTTCTGTTATGAGATTATGAATCTACATTACATTCATAATCTCATAACAGAAAATTCATAATCTCATAACAGAAAATTCATAATTTAATAAATATTTTACTTTTATGCGATTATGAATTTTCTGTTATGAGATTATGAATTTACATTACATTCATAATCTCATAACAGAAAATTCATAATTTGATCAAACGCGCGCCGTTAACTCCACATCCGCGATTTTTTTTTTTTTGCGTAAAAACGACGTCGTTTGGACTTGTGTTCACCATTCACGGTGAACACGTTTTCAGGGCATAATTGTTTTCTAGGTTTTTATCATATATATTATCTTCCATTGCTTCGAGCTAACCCTCTTCGATCATCCCCGGCCAGTTTCCGGTTGCTAGCTTCCACCACCTTTCAAGGCGGCAGCCACCATATTCTCCTTCCTCAAGTCCAAGACCACTACCAGCCTCTTCCCCCACCACATGTTTTCAAATATCCACATGTTGGTTTTAGCTAATAACAACAATGTTAATAAACCCTTAACAAATAGTTATGTGTTCCCCGGCCAAGGTATAAAGAAGGATCGACATACTAAAATCTTGACAGCTCTCAAGGTCAAGGGATCGGAAGGTTAGGCTCTCAATCTGCGTGCATCGCTAGTAAGTTCTTTGATCATCAAGATATGTTGGGTTTCGTCATTTCGACAAGCCCGGCCAACAAAACACTCAACACACTCTTCGCTAAATAAAAAATAGCCATTGAAGAGCTAGTCCACGCCACCACCTCCCACTTCCCCCACTGATGCTAAAATGACTGTCAAAGAGGATGCAAGAGACTCCCAAGAAATGGGTACATGGACAAAAGATTCTCTCAGTGAAGAAGATGACACTATTGGGGTTATTGTTGATCTTGCTAAACAATCCAGGGCAATGACAAGCGAAAGAGCTAGGGGAGTAGGGGCAAGAATGAGCTCAGTGAAGCCTAGATGCTACTTGCCTAGCCTGGTCCTTTGACTGAAACCCGCAAGAAACCAGAGGAGAGGAATTTAATTTAATGAAAATAAATAATTAAAATAATAATACTTTATAAAGTTATATATTTGCAAAGGAGGTCTTTGTTCACATTGAATTTTCTTTTTAATGACGTGTCGCATTGTGGTTCACCGCCGGTGTATAGCACTTATACACCGCGGTGTATCAAATATTAATCCTAAAAAATGTTGGTGTAATTGTTTGTTGAAATAAATTGTTCATATTATTTTGATTTTTTTTTTCACACTTTACCGTATATTGTATTAATTACTTTTTTCTAAATACCCATGCATTGACTCTTTGTGCTTCAGTAGGTTGAAAAAGTAGTTATGAACAGATGCTACATTGTAATATAGTCAGTAGCATTCCAAAAAATACCCATGCATTCATTCAATGTAAACTTTAGTAATGGAATATTCTGTTAACTATTTACTATGAATATGTTAGAGTTTATTAAAAAATACAGTATAAAACTTAACATGAGTTTTGGTCAATTAATTAGAATCATGTATTGAACATTGCTGAAACGATACACCTAATTTACCGTATATATTCAACACAGATGAGAAACTATGCCTATTATCATTGTCTTTTTGGAGAAGGATGATTTGGTTATGTTTAGAAAAGTTCATTGTGCCAATGCACTAAAATTGTAGTGAAGCATACTAGGGGACTAGATCAAATCAATAATTCGTTTTTAGCGGAAGTGACAACAAGAGGAAGCATGAATCACGCCAATTACTAGAGTTTGTGTTGCAAAAACTATGCTTGAGTACTATTCAGTGAGGGTGCATGCTTCCATCTAAAACTGTTATGCATCAGTTAATCCATAATTTATGCCACAGTCATAGTAATGCATTCTTGAAATATTTACTTCTATACAAAATTTGATAATATTGCATTGATATACGTCAGGATATCGAATGATACTTTGATACTAAAACAATAATTTAAAAATACTTGGACATTAGACTATTCGCATAATGCGCACGTGATAACTAATATATATGTGCAAGTAGTTGGTGCACCTTTGCAAGTAAAATGTGCAAGTAAAACCACTACAAGTGCACCTACTTTCACATACAAGTGCATGTAATTTTGTCTTGTTAACATTCATTGATCTAAGTTCGTTTTGTTTGGCGTCGCTTTTGTTCTTGCGGAAGAGTTCAGTGGGTAGTTAGTACCCATGAAAACCACCCGCAAACATTCATGCACATAGGTGCACCTACTTATAACTATAGGTGTATCTAGTTATAACATCAGGTGCACTTAGATCTGGACCCGTGACTCACGTTGAATGGTTCTTAGTTCTTTCATGGGCGGGCAGTTCGGACCTGAACGCGATCATGTATATATATATATATATATATATACTAGTATTTTTTTTTATGCGCGATGCGCAAAAAATAGGTGTCCAATATTAATACATTATATTAAAATTGTAAATTTATTTAGATTTTAGATTTTAGATTTTAGATATTAAAATTATTCTAAATAATAATAAAGGCCATGTTTGGTAAATGGCTTTTAGCTGATTGGGTTAATTTGAGGGTATAACTAGTTGATAACATTAGCTGATTGTAGAAATGTGTTTAGTAAATTAGCTGTTAGCTGATAGCTGTTTGGTATAATTTCTTTTCTCAAAAAGCTAATTGAAAAAGTTGCTTTGAGTAGCTTTTTGAATTTTAGCATTTTGGAGTACAAAAAGCTAATTAACCAAATACTTATATTGATTTTTAAACCAAATCAAACAACTAATAGTGGTCAAATAAGCCGAAATTGGCCTATAGGCTAACTATTTTACCAAACAGGGCCAATGTAAATCATTTTTATAAATTTGATATTTATATTTTAGGTAATAACTAATATATAACTCAAATATATAATGTGTATATATTATTATTAATGAAGAAGATAAGAAAATATATGGTGGATGCATGTGCATGGTAACAATAGTGGAAAAGATAACGGAAGTTATAACGGTAGGGGTATGTTTGTACAAAATATTTTAAAGTACAACTTTTATAGCATAATGTACAAAAAAAACTTAACGGAAAAACGGACATAAATGAGGGGTATAACTTTCATTCACACTTATTATGTTTTTAGATTACTAGTTTTTTACGCGCATTGCGCGATTGGATAATGCCCAATGTTTTTCTTAAATAAGTATTTTAAAGTATATCAAGGCAAGATTATATTGGAATTGTTCATGCATAGATAATGGAATGTTGAATTTGTGTATTTAAATTGGTAATTCTAAGTTTACAAATGCAAGATAATATAGTCAAGATTGATTATAGTTGTCAATAAAATAATTGTATGGGTATGGTTGAAACCAAATACGGGACATAAGGGAGAGCAAATAAAAATTAAAGCATAAAATATTAAATAGGAATAAGGGTCAAATAGGCCATTGAACTACCCACCAAAATGCAATTAGGCCATCCAACTCAAAAAAACTACAATTAGGTCCCTAAACAAGACAAATTAAAGCAATTAAACTCCAAGTGACCCGTT